TTGCTTGTCCTGTCGCCCCCGAAGAGCTCTCCTGACATCAGTGAAGGCTGCTCTTGCCCCTGCAACATTGGCGGCGTAATCCTGAAAGATGGTGATTTGGTTAACGTTGTAAATGAGCCGTGCGCGTTCTCTGGCTTTTTGTAAGATCTCCACGGCATCTATATTGTAATGTAACTTTGCGGTTATGGTACGAGGCTTGTCCCCTGGCCTTTTTGGAACAAGGCTATGATGTGAGTGGTCAATTTTGACATCTCTGTTCATTTGAAGCACTTTTTTTAGCAGTTTGAATACTGCTGTAGTTTTGATCCCGGGAGCTCGGAGATTACAGTAACGCGCATATTTCCGCCTTCTCATGCGCCCTTCCATATCTTCACATTTTTCTTTTAAGTCGTCAACGTGCCTTGTGAGTTTAGTTACAGTTGCTTGGAGAGTGACCATCTCGTCTGACCAAGTTGAGAGTCCTCCCTCTACATCCTTAATGTTCTCTTTTATTTGGTCAATTTCAGAACGCATAGCGGTGGCATTATTCAAGATTTCGGGTCTCATAGCCTGTAGTTCAGATTTAAGTGCATCAAAATCCTCTGTCAATGCGTTCTTCAATTTTTTCGTTATTACAGATCATTTGTCCACTCTTAAGGAGCAGAGAATGTCCGCCTTTATCTTCTCGAAGACAGTATTTGTATCGTCAGGCCGTCCAGAAGGAGATCCAGGCTCACTGGAACTACTCTGCCCCGAGGCTTCGGGCCTTACGGTGATAGGGCCAGAATACTTGTATTTATGGAGATTCGCTGCCATCCTTGACTGTATTTAATCAACGTGGTCTTCTGTTCGTTTGCAAGAACAAATACTGTTCATTCTCAGACATTAAACAGCTGTTAATATAACAATTTTTAAAGATTTTATAGGAGCGCTGAAAACACGTGTTTACTCCATCACGCTTGACAGCGCCCCCTCGACTGACACAGTTTTAATGGACTCTATGCAAGATCTCTTCCGCGTTTGTGATTAGTCCTCATGTCAACTTCTGGTACAGCACCACGATCACTGTAAGCGGATGGCGCAGGTGATGATGATAGACTACACTCGTTGTTTATAAAAGTTTCCTTGCATTACCATGAAGGACAATAATGGAATCGTGAGACAGAGAGCTGTCACACCAAACAGCAAAGAAGAAAAGGGGTTCAAATTCTACATTTCGAGTTGCATCGATCATTTTGAGGGTGAGTATTATTATGCTATATATAAGAAAAGCAATTAAATGCTAGCCATATCTTTTTTTCCTCATAGTTCATATTGATTTTTATGTTGTTTTAATTACCTGTATCATTTCTATCCATCTGCCTGTCTATCTATTTACATGTATGTGGACATTGTGTCCTCAATAACCATAAGTATGAACGTTACTAACTATGGGTTATTTCTCACTGTCCTATAAGGGTGGAGAGACGGGAGATCAGCATTTCAGGTCGATAGTGAAGTCAGATAAGCTGCATAGTTTGAGTGAAAGGTTATGTATACTCGGGATGACATGATGATCCAGCTCATCTACAATAACATCAAATTGTTTCAGGGAAAGCCAAACTTTTTTTTTTTTTTTTTACTTTTACTTGTCAAGATGACTGCAGATTTGAACAAACACACTCACACAACTTTTTTTGTTTAAAATTGTCAAATTTACACGTGTCAATTTTTTTTATATATATATTTATGCTGCAGTGTAAATGTCTAATTACTTATATTTAGATAGTTCGGTGTTTTCCTTGTTGAAAATTAGTTTAAGAGGGTATCCCATTTGTTACATTTTTGCTACTTGAAACAAATGCATTTTGCATTATTGAGCATCACTGGGGGTCTGACAGAAGTTGCCTGCCTGATTTTTGCTTGAAGGCGGAGGTGGTACATTTGATGAAGGTAACCATCACATAATTCTGCACAATAAACTCTGCATAATTACATTAGTGCAAGTATCTAAACTGATTTATATATTTACATTACTGCAGAGCAAATGTTCACTCAAATTGTTCTGTTATTTATGTTTACATGTTTATATTAATGCATTGAAAATTAATGTCTATTATATTGACAACTTTATATTCCTGCAGTGCAGACCACAACATAGAAATTATATTCAGTTTGTGTTTATATAATTTTTTACATGAGTAAATTTAGCTTCATCATCTACTCTTTAATCTTTAGCTTAAGCTTTTACTGATGGGCAGAAGGTAAGCCATTGTGTAAATCTGGTTGATGCTCGCTGTAATAGAAAGAGATGATGACTGTCCAGCTTGTTGCTTCACCCTGTGGATGAGATGCTCAGTGTCGACCCATAGTCTTGTGAAGGATGGCTTCTCCCTCACAGTTGCTCTTACTCTGAACGTGTTACTCTAGATGTTGTAGGATGTAAATGAATAAATCAGATAGAAAGGCATAAGGTTTTGAGTATAAAGACTTGTGCTTAACATATTTGTTTTAGTTTGTTATTTGCCTCTTACATGATACTAGAATGTTTGATGTGGGTGTGTATATGCATGTATACAGTATATACAGTATAATATAATTTACTATAATATGGTTAAAAATGTAATATTTTATATAAAATTAAATTACAACTTGTTACTACTTTCATCTGGGTTAAATTCTAGTACATCATTTTTAACTGTACCTTTAGAACCTTTTAACATCACTAAAAGTAGCATTGAAGCAGTCTCCTTTCAGTTACTCCACCTCTTCACTGTGATTATCAGTCTGATCTGGTGTATTAATCAACAATAATGATGTTTCAGATGCTTAGCATCCACTGGCACTAGATCCTTCAATCTTCCTTCTTTGCCATGCTCTGATTTGTTTAGGTTTCGCCGCTATTAGATTTCACTGTAGAACGAAATCACCACTATCAGATTTCGCTATGCGGAAAAGCCTGACTGATATTCTACCAGAAACACGTCAGCAGAGTTAGTGCATAGAGCCCATTTACTATAACTTTTATGTTAATCTGCTTTGACAGTTTACATTGTAAAAACACTAGATAAATAAAGATGAATTGAATCTGCTTAAATGTGTACATGTTAATGGACCAAACAAAATATGATCTGATTTATTTACATTTAATGTGCATTAAAATTACAGTGTGTAGCCAAGGTTTCCAGTGTCTTTTCACTTTTCAGTTTTGATAGTTTTTAAGACTTAATGGAAACTAATGTTTTATTTTTTTTATTTCAGACCTAATTGAAGAGAATGAGGGGAGTAAAGAGGAGGAACATCATGTCAAAATTGAGGAAAAAACTCATTTACAGACTGATGATGTTTTGAAAAGGAGAGACAAGAATCAATTCACCTGCACTCAGTGTGGAAAGAGTTTTAAAAGAAAAGACATTCTTAAGACTCATATGAGGATCCACACTGGAGAGAAACCATTCACATGCACTCAGTGTGGGAAGAGTTTCAACCAATCATCGTACCTTAATCTACACATGAGGATTCACACTGGAGAGAAACCATTTACATGCACTCTGTGTTGGAGGAGTTTTATTTGCTCATCACACCTTAATCAACACATGAGGATCCACACTAGAGAGAAACCATTCACATGCGCTCAGTGTGGGAAGAGTTTCAGCAGCTCATCAAACCTTTATCAACACATGAGGATCCACACTGGGGAGAAACCATTCACATGCACTCAGTGTGGGAAGACTTTTAACTGCTCATCAAACCTTAATCAACACATGAGGAACCACACTAGAGAGAAACCATTCAGATGCACTCAGTGTATAAAGAGTTTTAACTGCTCATCAGACCTAAATCTACACATGAGGATCCACACTGAAGAGAAACCATTCACATGCACTCAGTGTGGGAGGAGTTACAGCCAATCATCATCCCTTAAGCGACACATGATGAGCCACACTGAAGAGAAACCATTTATGTCTAATCATTTTGTTTAATCCCGCCCCTTTTCGCTGCATCGTACAAAATAATTTCTCATGCTCAAACTCTAGTGTAATTGCAGCTTTGGTGTGGGATGAGTTTTAGCAACTCATCAGACCTTAATAAAAGCATGAAGACCCACACTGAAGACCATTCACATACACTCAGTGTGGGAAAAGTTTCAACTGATCAGCAAACCTTAATGTAGACATGAAGATCCACACTGGTGTGAAAGAGTATATGTGCTTGAGTGTGAGAACTTTTATTACAGCTCAAATTTAAACTGCACCAGACGATTCACACTGGAGAGACCCTACAAGTGTTCACACTGTGACAAGAGGTTTAATCAGTTAACAGATCTGAAAACACAAAAGAGGATTCACACTGGAGAGAAACTGTACAGATCTGTTCAGTGTCTTTACAATTGGACAAAAAGTTGCACACATGACGTGAATGCAGCAAATCATTTTCTCATAAGCACAGGAGGTTTCATGTCTGAATAATGTTTAAAAAGGCTGAGTGATGGTATACTGTTTTCCTACACTCCTACACTGCAGTAGGTGGGGTTGTAAATGTGTTGCGCTCATCGCGTTTACCGTAAACACATTGCTGGCGGCTGAGAGAAGAATAGTTTCATAAACATCTGACAAACAGCATCTCAGCGGCTTAAAATCTCTTTGCAAGTGATTGTACAGGTGCGGATACATCTGTTCTCCACTCTCCAGTGTATTCATGTAGCTAGTGTTGTTTTGGATGATGTTCTCCTTCTTACTCCCTGAATGAGAAACAAATCACTGGGAAGACACTCCACATCAAGGAAGGTGGAGCTCCAGGACAGTTAGTTTTCAGTATACCAGGGCCTCAAGTTTAGAAAATATAATGACTAAGAGCAATTTATTTAAAAACGAAAGGAAAGAAGAGTGTTAAGTGTTTTTAGGACATAAGAGCAAGTAATAAAATAGGCTATAGCCCATATTTCGCCCCAAAGAAGCCCAGCTTTGGCCTGATCAGGCCCTGGAAGTGACAGTGGAAACACGACTGGCCTGGGCTCCCTCGCTTTAGGTGCGATAGTGGAAATGGGGCTAATGGTTCTGGTGGCCCTCAATGGTGTGGAACACTTGTCAGTTTTTCAGTGGCAACACAGTAGTCCTCACTGTATTGGGCAGATTTTTAAAGCAGCTCACTTTATTTCACTCCTCAAATAATCTTCATCGAGGGAAACAGCAGCCATTGTCTTGGACCACATGTTCCGTATTCTTGGCCTCCTAGTTGACATGGTTTTAGACAGGGGTTTGCAATTTGTGTTTAGGTTTTGGGCAGAATACTGCCGACAGCTGGGGGCGACTGCATGCCTTTCATGAGCACCACCCACAGACCAATGACCAAGCCAAGCAAGCTAGTCTGCAGCTGGAGAGGGTCCTGTTTTGCGTCACATGATTCCATGTGTTTTCCCACCACAGCCTAGCTTTTGTTAAAATGGTGACCGTGTGAAATAAGCGTATTCTCTTCCCAAGAACCAGATGCCATTGTTTCCTTATGCATTTGTTCATTCAGAGATGCCTCTAGACATGAAGGATCACCAGAAAAGGACTGGCAATAGAAATTAAGCGTTTGCTCCCTCTATATATGTGTGGTCAGAAAGTCTGGTTGTCTTCCAAATGAATTCCTCTCAGCTTTTCCTCACATAAATTGAGACCCAAATTCATTGGACCTTTTTCTGTTATCAAGGTGCTCAGTCTAGTGTTTGTTCAACTCAAATTAAGCTCTAAGTTTAAAGACATTCATCCGTTTTTTCCAGGTGTCTAAGATCAAGCCCATTCTTCTCTCCCCCCTGCAGCCCATAACCTCTGCTCCTCTGCGTCCCAGACAGGTTGAGGGTGCACTCACATACACAGTGCACTGGCTCCTGGATGTGATGAGGAGAGGTAGAAAGATTATCAGTATAGGGTATACTGGAAGGGTTATGGTCCAGAGGGGAGATGTTGGATTCCGGCTATGGATATTCTGGACCGCTCTCTCATTGATCAGTTTAAATAGGTCCACAGTGAGTCTTAAGGGAATGCTAGTGAGCATTCTTGAGGGAGGAGGTACTGTCACCATATCTCACAGATTTGTTCTCTTCTATTCTGGGTTACAGGTTATTTCGTTATCTGCTTTTATTTGCAGTCACAGGAGCTCTCGTTTCCCTTTTTTCCTGTTTATACAACATAATTTCCCTTCATGTTTGTCAGTATGTTATCGATCATTTGTGTGCATATTATTTTGTTACTTACCCTGTATTCGTGTGCAGGAATGCTAGTGAGTGAGTGTTAGGTTGTTTTTTCCCCCGGCACTTCCTTAGTGCTCACCTGATCGGATGTTTTCTTTGAATTTTGCGTATTCCAGGACTCGCTCCCCAAACACTTGTTTTTCTGCATTTGAGTTAAAAAATTTTTTCCTCGTGACACAAGTATTATCTTTCTCATTTGTGTGTAAAGGTCTCTAGATTTTGGCATGATGTCTAACTTTTGAGGCTCTTTTGGTCTACTTCACTTTGTCAGACAGGTCCTATTTAGGTGATTTATTGATTGCAAACATGTGTGGAAGTAATCGGGTCTGGGTGTGGCTAGAGAACTTGAAGCCAATGTGAAAAAGTTAAGTCAGGTTTTAATGGGAAAAAACATTTTCACACAAGGCTATGTAGTTCAGTACTTTGTCTTCCTTTTAAGAATAAAAACCTTCATTTAAAAACTGCACAATGTGTTTAATTGTGTTCTCTTTGATTAATATTTACATTTGATTGATGATCTGAGACTGTTAAGTGTTCAAATTCTGCACTGCAGATTACTAACCCTTAGAACATTTGTCATTTAAAGGTGCAGATTTAAGGCTTTATGCAGATATGTCTCATGTCTATGAGGCAAATACTCAGAGATTCAGCTGTTTTTTTTCTGACAGGTTTACCATTCAGGCATAGAATGAAAAACATTCCCTATCTGCTTTACAAGTTTTACAAAAACATGTTGTTTTAAATGATTACGAATATATACAAATAGAAACTGGCCATTTACAGCTTTCAAATTTATGTCTCATCAATATGACCAAAAATGATCTGGGATTAATCATATAAGAATACACTTAAATGTGCATGTGTGTAATGGACCCCAGGAGGTTCATATGACAAGATCAATCTAAATATGATCTGCTATGTCTTTACATTTAATGTGCATTAAAATTAAGGTTTGTGTCGACAATGTTTTAGAGTCTTTTCACTTCAGCTTTCGATGAGTTTAATGATTTACTAAAAACTGAACCTTTTTTTCAGACCTAATTGAAGACTATGAAGAGAGTAAAGAGGAGGAACATCAAGTCAAAATTGAGGACAAAACTTATTTAGAGACTGATGGTATTTTAAAAGTGAGAGACAAGGGTTGTTTTACCTGCACTCAGTGTGGAAAGAGTTTGGCAAGCAAAAGCAAACTTGAGATTCACTTGAGGATCCACACTGGAGAGAAACCATTCACATGCACTCAGTGTGGGAAGAGTTTCAGCCACTCAGCAAACCTTAATCAACACATGATTATCCACACTGGAGAAAGACCATTCATGTGCACTCCATGTGGGAAGAGTTTCAGCCAATTATCATCCTTTAATCAACACATGAGGATTCACACTGGAGAGAAACCATTCACATGCACTCAGTGTGGGAAGAGTTTCAGCCAATCGTCAAATCTTAATCTACACATGAGGATCCACACTGGAGAGAAACCATTCACATGCACTCAGTGTGGGAAGAGTTTTAGCCACTCATCACACCTTAATCAACACATGATGATCCACACTGGGGAGAAACCATTCACATGCACTCAGTGTGGGAAGACTTTCAGCCAATCATCATCCCTTAATCAACACATGAGGATCCACACTGGAGAGAAACCATTTACATGCACTCAGTGTGGGAAGAGTTTCAGCAAATCATCATCGCTTTATAGACACATGAAGATCCACACTGGAAAGAAACCATTCACATGCCCTCAGTGTGGGAAGAGTTTCAGCCTATCATCATCAATTTATAGACACTTGAAGATCCACACCGGAGAAAAACCATTTACATGCACTAAGTGTGGGAAGAGTTTCAACCAATCATCATACCTTAATAAACACATTAGGATCCACACTAGAGAGAAACCATTCACATGCACTCGGTGCGGGAAGAGTTTCACCCACTTATCACACCTTAAAAAACACATGAAGATCCACACTGGTGTGAGAGAGTAAATGTGCTTGGAGTGCGAGAAGACTTTTATTACTGCTGCAGAATTGAAACAGCACCAGAGGATTCACACTGGATAAAAACCGTACAAGTGTTCACTCTGCAGTAAGAGGTTTATCACTCAGGAACCCTGAAAACACATCAGAGGATTCACACTGGAGAGAAACCGTAGACATGATCAGTGTGTGCAGAGTTTTACTCATTCGGGGTAGCTTAAGAAACACATGGGATGGTTTTCGGTATGGCGTTGACACATGTAGCAGCATAGAAAGACAGCTCCCATACACACTGGTATTAATCCTCCGTTTTACATCATATGTAATAACCTAAACCATATTTAAATAACATGAAGGGGGACAAAAACAAAAAGGCTAGGACAAAACAACCATTGAAACCTGAAAAAAAACGAGAAATCAACAGATGAAAAATCAGAGACAAACAGGATAGCTGATAGCCTGTCAGCTAGCATTGCATTGCAAAACAAACCATCACTTAATGAATTGGACCTTAAAATCCAATGGTTTCACTGGGTACTCGGACCAAAACAACCTGCTGACACACACCCTAGATCAGCGTTGATATTCTTACTGGAAAACAAAACGAAGGACCTGGTCTTCCACTTTGCATGGATAAAGAAAGTAATACACTGGAACGAATAAAGGATTTTCTTTGACCAATATTACCCACCTGAATTCCAACAGAAAAGGGATTAAGTTCCAATCACCACTGCCGGCGAAACTTAGAATCTTTTCTGGAAAACGGGCAGGTCTTGTACAATTCGATGACAGAGGCATCAAGAGATCTGAAAGAAAAAGGGCTAATAAACAACGAAGAAGAAACTATTATAGGAATTTCTGGGAAAGAGAAAAAGATTTTGGCAAAGTTTGGAGTGACATCGAAGAAGAGAAAAGTATGTGACTTTTAAAGGGACAACACTAGCTCTGTTTGAAAGAAGAGTAAAACCTGACAGATCCTAACAAAGAACTCTGAGAGGCTGGTAAAACTTCTTGACTTGATTTACAGATGGACATTTAAATCATTTAAAGGAAAGAATGATATTTAACCGAACTTACCAACGACACACCAAGACTCAAGTAATTGAGTACCATACTGGTAGGAAGACATAAAGGAATTCGATTTTATACACTTAAAATCCCTTGCTATAATTAATAGAAATATATAACTTGAAAACCTAGCTGGAAATAAAAGAATATAATATTGCCAGATATGGGCGCTGAATATATTTGTTAACATTTTTTGTGCAATAGGCACAGCAAGGAGAGAGGCCCTTTAGAAAAGGAAGGCTTTCCCCTCACATTAAAAAGTTATTTAAGACTTTAAGGTTTGGAGACCTTTTTCGTTATGCTTTTTTATTTGGTTCAGGATTTTCATGTTTGTGTTTTTCATATTCCGTCACTGTGATTTTCGCAATAACATCTGATTATGCAAAAACAGAAATATAGAGTAATTACTTTGAATATTAATGGGTTACTAAATCCGATTAAAAGAAGCAAACTCTTGGCTAAAATGAAAAAAGAAAAGCAACAGATAATATTCTGGTAACAGACACATCTTTCTGATACAGAACATAAGAAATTAAATAAAAAGGGATTTAAGGTTTTCTTTTCCTCATATAATAATGGTCGTAAACGAGGAGTAATGACATTAATCTCAAATAAAGTCAACTTCCAATTAAATTCTAAGATTACTGATAAAGAAGGATGATTTAACCTAATTAAAGGAACTATCGACTAAAACAAAGTTACATTAGATAATATAGATAGACCACCTGAAAAAGACAAAGCATTTCTCAAATAAATATTTACTTTTAGAGCCAGGGAGGCATCAGGTACGTTGATATGTGGGGAAGAGTGGAATGTACAATTTCAGCCTAAATTGGACTCATCTTTTTAATAAGCAAATTAATAAAGAAACTAGACAAATAAGAGATATGATGAAAGAATTAGGCTTCAAAGATTTGTGGTAAGACATATACCCTCTTAAAAAAAATAGTATTTTCTTCTCTTCCACCCAAATGTCTCGTTCTAGAATTGATTCATTTTTTATGTTTGGGTCAGATCAACATAAAATAAAAGACTGTAAAATAGAAACAAGGGACATCTCAGACCATGCAGGAGTATATTTAACAGTGTACCTGGACAATAAACCCAAAAAGACATTTTGGTGATTTAACCCTAATCATTTGGATGATTTAACATGTAGAATATGTTCAAAAAGAACTATTAGAATATTTAAAACATAATGATAATGGAAAGGTGTCACCTAGTATCCTATAGGACGCAGCTAAAGCTGATATGCGAGGTAAACTTATAATGTGAGGATCAAGGAAAAAAATGGAATTACATAAAAAATCTGAACTTACAACTTAAAGAATTAAAGACTAAGTGAAGTTTCATAAACTAATTTCGAGAGGAGCACGTGATATGATTGTGCACCGCTGGCCACTCATCCGTAATCAGTAATAATCCAATCAGAATGATCCTAGCTTAGTATAAATGGATCACTTTCTCCCCATTGCACTATCTTCATTTTGGAAGATGCTTCCCGCTACAAACGCTCCAGCATTTAAACTACGCTTCAGCATCATTCAACCTTCTGGCATGGAAGAACAAACAATCAACAACAACAACAACTTCTCCAACCAGAACGCCGCTCTCCCCTAAACTCCAGCAGCTGCCTCGCCAGCAATCGAGCCAGAATCCCCGCAAGAAGCCGGCATATCAACTCTTCCATCTTCTACTTCATCTGCCCTTCACTACACAAGCCACAACTTCGTCTAAACTTATGACGCCGGCGATTCAAGCCACCGGAGAGAAGCCGAACTCACAGATCACCTAACGTTAACGGTCCACTTTCGGTAACGTGCATGCTTTAAAGGGAAGTCTGGCGAGATCAGCGTGAATAGAGCGCTTTAAATGAAGAACTCACCTCTCAGCCTCCCGCTGGTCAGCAGATCCATAACATTCTGACAGCTGAAATAGTTCGAAGGCAAATGACCAGGCAATCTAATCCATAAACATTATTCCATAACACCTTCATTCGTCGATATACATCCATGAAAAGGTGCACTGATATCCAAACCAGCTGCTGGTGAGAGTGGAGCCATACTTTCACGCATAAACATTAGCTGCGTCCCAAATGGCACACTATACACTATGCACTCATGCACTATGTACTTATGCACTTACACACTCAACAGGATAGTATATGTATGTAGTGTTGTCCCAAATGGCACACTAATGTTTTTTTACTAAGCGGAAATTCAAACCGTTTCCCTGATGACGTTTGACTGTTGCCAAATCAGTGAAATAAACGACTGAATTATCAAGTAATACCTGCCGTGAGTATTGCCGCATTTACCATCGGGGGGCGCTATAATCACTCTCGTAGGAGAATTTAGCTTTCACCATCCAAAATAAATAAAGTTATCCAACATGTGTGTCCGATAGCTCCGCCCCTTCCGCTACGTAAGCAAACCTGCGGTCGTTGAGTGCGTGAAGTGTCCATCATTACACACTTCATTTTAGCGGCTGAATGAGTGCATCATCCGGGTAATTAAAGTGCACTTATTATTTTGAGAGTTTTCAATGTGAACACACTACTTACACTATTTATACTACAAAATGGCGTAAAATAGTGCATAAGTATGCGATTTGGGACGCAGCTATTGTAGCGATCTGATCTACAAAATGGCCGCCGGCCTTTGCACTCTGAACTCTTGACCGTGACTCCAAGGAGCCAATAGCTTAAAGGGGAAGTATCACCATCCAATGAGCTTTCCAAAACTGGAGACGGTCCCGCCTTCTCTCCCGACAAATTCATGAATGGACTGCGTGCAGAGACTTTGATTCCGGCCAAATAATCATGTTGAGATTATAGACATGTTACTTATCATGGATGGAGTAAAGCCATGATAAACATTACATTCACACAGTTCCTATTAAGTGGCAACATCGTTTTTTAAGTTTGATGTAGGCAGTTGATATATTTCCATTTTATTAATAATTATATATACATACATTTTAATAAAAAAAAAAAAAAAAAAAAAAAAAAAAATCTGAAATGAGTATTACCCAGCAAGTGATAGACAACCTACACATCAAGCAGTAACCCTTTTGTATCACGCCAATTGTGACTCTCATATCAATACACCTGAATGTCAGTCAGTTTATAATGACAGTAAGAAAACAATTTCCTGCTCGACTGCAACAAACAAGAGGAGGACATTTCTGGCCATGGAGTAGCTTTTCATACTTATACTTTGTGTTAAATACATTCGAGTTTTAAAAAACTTCTATATCAGTAAGGGGTTTAAACTCCACTCCATCACCATCTCACCAGCTCTCCAAGAGGTTTCCTGGACTTCCAGCATAGAAACACCCCATACGCTCAGTTCTCCTTCTAATTACCACCCTGCAGGAAGACAAATGCCCACTTCTACAACCCTGGCACATTGTGACATTAAGTATTGGAACATGCATTAACAAAGGCGCTTCCATTCACAATCATCCATACACTTATGAAGACTCCTCCCACGAATATCAGCCAATACAATTAATCATGTCTGCTGTACATGTGCCATGTTGCTAAGATTTCATTTCTAATGCTCTCTTGTTTTCCATTTTAGAGTTCAAGACTGCCAGCTCCTGAAACTGCCCTCATTCAACCCATTACACTCTTCATCCATTCCTAATGCATTTACACTCTTCGCAGATACTTTCTGCCTATACAGCCCACACCCTTGATACCATATTCACATATACCCCCCCCCCATTTACTCTTCATATCACTATTGACAATATTT